GTGGAGCCAACACCATTTTCTCTTCATATCTCCTTTCTTTCTTTCTGGACCAGGTACCAGACATCCATGAGGCAGAACAAAGCCAGACAAAAAACACCTGATGTGAAGGCTTTAGCCATCATTAGAACCAAAGTTGCTACGGGTCATGGTTCTAGTGTCTGTCACTTGAGCCCTGCTAGCCACAGTCTTCACAGAATCCAGTTGCCCAGGTGCTTGGCCCCGAACAAACAAAGTCGATAAGATAGGAACTCTACCTGCTTGGCTGTGCCACGCATGCACGCATGCACGCACGCACGCCCTCAGCTTCAGCACGACTTTGCCCTCATTCCTAATATGCCGTGAACAAGCACCTGTCACTAGCTGCTGTTAACATCAAGGCATGGAGACCTTTGATATTACCTCAAGCCTTGTCATAAATGAGAGCTGACATCATTTCAAAAGATTTGACAGGTTTGAATTTGGAAGTCACATCTTGTCAGAGCTGTCGTTGGCTTAATGTCATAATGCAGCTAAGAGTTCAGACAGGCATGCAAGAGACGGCTTAGGCACTCCCCCCGCTCAGATGCAGGTACTGCCTGCTTGCTTTCCGCTCTTTCTGAAGGGCAGGATGCTTAAAAGCCCCTCCCTCCCTCCCTCCCTCATTCCTTCTGTGAGGACCCCTTTATTTACTCTGTGACATCCTGTCCCACCAGTAAGCAGAAATGGTGTGTGTGATACACAGTCCTGGTCCCAGGGAGGTGGCTCTGCTCTCTCCCCAGCTCTCCATCACATACACTTTGCTGACCCAGGGCTTTTTGACACACGATCTCATAAAGGTACCAGCACCAATATGGAGAGCAAAGTGGTGGTTTTTGTTTTTGTTTTGGTATTTTGAGACAGAGTCTCTCACATTTCTATTTTTATATAAATATAAATAAATAAAATAAATAAATAAAAGGATATAAATACATACATAAATCTTACCCTTAACAGATCATCTTTCATACCCTCAGTTTGGAGACCACTGACCTGACTGGAATCTTCCCAGCCCAGGACCCACATCTCTGAAACCCAACCTTCCTTTTTCAGGAAGGGACCAACTCCCCCAATACACCCAACAACAACAACAACAACAACAACAACAACAACAACAACAACAACAACAACAACAAAAAAGCAAAAACAAACATGTGAACAGGCCCATACCACAGAAAGAAATTCTATCCCAGGAAAAAAATTGCACATTCCCGTTCATACTTCTACTTGTGAGTCTTCAAAGCCACATCCCCAATATCCTGCAATGTCCTGTGTCAGATAGGTCTACGATTGGGGGAAGGGAAAGTGGAGAGGGCACCAAGGAGTCTGAATTTGTGGAATTCCTTTGGATTTACAGGCGGTTGTCAAACTGCATTTCTGAAGGGACAGTGGCTGTGTGACTAGTCCGAGCATGGAGAAACAGCGGCCTCTGGTGGTGAAGATGTGAAATGCTTTCCAGGCGCTGGATTGCAGGTATCCATCACCAGCAGCCAATGCCGTTGTCTAGAAAGTCCTTAACCCAGTCACCAGCAGAGGGCTTGCTTAAGTCTGACGAAAGAGAAAGGGGTGGGCCTCGTGCCCTGAAGAGGCACAAAAGATCTGCTTAGCCCCAGTAAGGCCATCATGGGACCCTTGTTCCTTCCAAACCCTAAGCATTTTCAGAGTGGCTCGAATAACCTAAAAGATAAAAATGTGGGGACCATTTGCAGCCGCGTTCCCCTTTCACATGAAGTACCCACCTCTGACTTGTGGGTAGCCATCCTCACAGCCCTGAGAGGTGCCTGAGCTCGTGAAGTTTACTAATGTCATCTGTTCCTTGCTAGGCAGGGTTCTCACAATCCATGGTGGATGGTGTCCTGCTGAGGCTGGGTTCCCGCCCGCTTGAAACCTCAGCTTTTCGTGCCCTCTTTCCTCCCTAGGGATTCTTTTCTCTCCCACCCATCACACCCCATCCTCCCATTTAGGGGCACTTTTACCTGCTTATCTCTCCACTAAGCACGAACCATCAGAACTCACATACCCCAGCCCGGAAATACAAGAGGACTGCTCGGTTGTTGGTGCGTCATCATTGCTTCCGGGCTAGCTTGGAAGACAACCGCACTACACACACTGTGACAATTTTCTTGGAAAGGGCTGATGTAGCCACTCAGCTTAGGTAGAAAATGGGTGAAGAACCATGCACCACAAAAAGGAAAGCATGATTTCCATAAAAATACCCTGAAGCCAACTGATTTCCAAAGCTCATCTCCTTGGGTGCCTGTGGATGTTTTTCTTCTTCAGGTAAAAGGACCTGAAAACATCTCACCCTTCCCCTGCCTTGCCTGTCTCCCTGATGTGGAGTCTGTTTCTCTTGGCTCTGTCTTTTCAGGAAGCAAAGACACCAAGGAAGCAGTAATCCATGGACAAAGACGCTCACCCGCTCAAAGGTGTTTCCAATTTCTTTTAGACTAGCTGTTAAACGCCATTAACTCCAGGAAAAGCTCAAGTGAACACAACCATAGAGAACTAGCTGACTCCACTAAGTAGGACATATATTTATGTGAAAAGAGTGGGATAATTTGGCCAGGCGATGGTGGCTTTTGCCTTTAATCCCAGCATTTGGGAGGCAGAGGCAGGTGGATCTCTGTGAGTTTGCTATCAGCCTGGTTTACAGAGCAAGTTCCAGGACAGCCCTCCAGTGCTACATGGAGAAATCTTGTCTTGAACACCAGCACCACGCTACCAAAATAGAAAAAAAAAAAAAAAGTGTGATAATTTAACAAAACCTTGAGGGCAAAACTATTCCAATAGGACTGTGGAAACAGCACTGAGGTACAGAGATGGTGGAATTCTCAGCACCCGTTTACTAGAAAAGGAAGCCGAAAGACAACATCTGGGGGTCTGAAGAGACGGCTCAGCAGGAAATTCGCTCGCAACCAAACCTGACTTGAGTTTGATCCCAGAAACCACACAGTGGAAGGAGAAATCCAACTCTTTGAAGCCATCCTCTTACCTTCATACATGGGCATGGGAACATGAGCGCTCACACGTGCACGTGAGCACACACACACACACACACACACACACACACACACACACAGATTTTAAAAATGTAAAAATTTTTTTTTAAAAAAAGAGAGAGAAAAAAAAGGGATTTAAAAAAAGGTTGAGAATGTAGACCAGGTCAAATGCATAGAGATCAGCCCACCTTTATCTTCCAAGTGCTGGGATTAAAGGCGTGTACCACTAAGTTTAGGGGTGAGAATTAGACATAAAAATTGAAGGCGAGTGCCATGTTTTGTTTTGTTTTGTTTTGTTGGTTTTTTTGAGACAGGGTTTCTCTGTGTAGCTTTGGAGCCTGTCCTGGAACTAACTCACTCTGTAGCCCAGGCTGGCCTCAAACTCACAGAGATCCGCCTGCCTCTGCCTCCTGAGTGCTGGGATCAAAGGCATGCACCACCACTGCCTGGCGAGTGTTATGTTTTTAACCATGAGCTGAGCTGTACTTATTTTTTTT